TCTATTCTATTCTACTGTGGTGGTGTGCAAAGAACGCTATCTTGAAGACCATTCTTAGGGCACTATGGTTTATAACCAACTCGGAAATACATCACTTTTCAAATTTATCCACAGTACGAGGAGTTTGTTAGCACATGCTCAAAATACAATGTTTGGCTGAGTGTCCACCTCAATGAACTAGCTCAGATGTTACTAACTGACAACCTCCCAAAACGCCTGAAGAGAACAGATTTACTGGATTTGTATAAGGAAAACTCCAGTTCTTAATTCCTGAAGGTATGCCGGAAGGCGTGTTTAAATAAGAAGTCTTGCACTGAATGGACTGCAGACTCTGATTGCCATTTGCCAACCAATCCGATTATAGTAGACGTACTGATCGCAGATAAAACAGGAACAAAAAAGAATAATTCTTTTTTTAAAAGTATATTTAGAAGGAAGTGCACGGATGTCTTCTGGGAGTGAGTTCCAGAGACGTGAAGCTTGTAAAAGAATAGAGTCGGTCATGAAACTCCTTTTATGGAGTGGCGTAGTCAGAACGAGGGAATTTTTAGAGTGCAGTTTACGGTCATGGGCATTCCTGAGATACTGAAATTTACATTTGACATTGCGTTCTATCTAATGAACTTATTACACTATCATACATATTTCTTTGCTATTAAGCAAATACGTTATCAATATTAGGGCATTGTTAATTATTATAATCAGCGAGGATAAAAAAACGAATGGACAATATTATAAAACGCAAAAAAGGGCTTGCACCTACGCCTATGGACAATAAAGGCCTAACTCGAAAAAAATAATATAATCAACTAACATTAAAAATCATTGAATTAATTAATGTTAGTTTTAATTGTTAGAGGCCTAAAATGCCCATTACAAGTTTTGAAGAAAGCATGTACAAACAAACACTTAAGCTGACCAGCTAAAATGTTTATATGTACACAGTATAATTAGTTAAATAGTGTTATAGACAAAAAAACAATAATATTAAAATACTTAACTGTTTAAATATAAACATATTTTCTTGAACTAAATAAAGATGATAAAACACATTTTCCCAATAAAACAATACCGAGCAGAGTCCATATTGACAAAGGCCAAAAACTTTCTTTAGTGCTTATTGATACAAAAAGGGCTCTAATGGAACGAGGGATTGCCTGACATCAGATTGGACAGAGGGGAAAAACGAAAATAAGAAATAAAGATGCAGATATGACAGTATCCACTTTTTACCCACTGTATATTCACTGAGCAGGCAAAAAGTAAACTTTATTACAGTTAATAAATGTTTCATTGGAGGATAATAGTTTCCAAATATTGAATTTCTTTTTAATGACGACCTCGGTGGTCTAGCGGTCTAGCACACCGCTTTACGACGGATGGTCGCGGGTTCGATTCCTCGCACGGCACAAACATTTGTATTCATGAGTACGATTGTTTGTATCGGTCTGGGTGTTTTCTATGTATAATATGTATATATTTACGAAAAAAATATATCTATGTATATGTATCAGTTATCTAGTATTCATAATACAAGTTTTAGCTAGCTTAACTTGGGTCTAGATAGCGCTGTGTGAATTGTCCTGAAATTATTATTATTATTATTTATTAATGATACTAATAAAACTAGGGACAAAATAGAAGTAAGTGATCAACGACTGAATTAGGAAATAACGAAAATTTTCATTACTGAAAAAGATAACTATTAAGTTGCAAGAAAAAGATAAAGGATCCTTTTCTTGCACATGGACTATGCACATATCATCGCAAGAACAAAATGAAAAACAAAAACAAAATTGTAATGTGTAAGAGTTGAAATATTGTCTTTTTATTTTATTTTGTTTTGTTCTCTTTATTTTATTTAAGTTTTATGTAATCAACAATTGATCTGGTATGTTTTTTATGAAATCAAACTAAAATATCTTAATTCGTCTGATATGTTAAATTCACTTTATCTGTAATAGTTAATTAATTATTTGGCAATTCTTTTGTGGACTCCCGCAATACAGTGCCTAGTGCGGGGTCCAATGTATAATCAACTTTTCAATTTTTTTATAGGTTTGAAAATGAATAAATAAATATCATACTGATCATACACAAACTCATAAACATATTAGCGATTATATGTGTAGTTCAAAAGACTTTTTTGTAAATTAAAGATTAAATTGTAATATTCATTTTATTAAAATGTATCTGTAGTTGAAAGACTTTGTTAATAATATATTTTTAATATCGGCAATATATTTTTAATATCGGGTGTGGATAATACAGATTAATTTGATTATTATATATGGAAAAAAATCGCCACAATACTTACGTCTTCTGGAGTAAATAGAGAGAACAATTTCCAGGCACGTTTTTTTCGGAAGATCTTCATTCCTATCAGACACATACTTCAACTAAGATTTTATGAGATATTTTATCAGCTTAATTACATAGTATAAAACAAAGTCGCCGCCGCTCTCTGTTCTAGCAGAGAGGGACTCACAGCCCTCACTGAGTTATAGACCGTTTTGTCTTCTTCATTAGTTTTAAATTATATTATTGTATGGGCAACAATTATATTAGTTTTTGTTTGAGACAAATAAAGATTATTATTATTATTATGTATGTTTAAATCTTTAAAACTACGCAACGGATTTTGAAGCGGTTTTTTTTAATAGATAGAGTGATTCTAGAGGAAGGTTTATATAATACATGTACACCCGTGCGAAGCCGGGGCGAGTAGCTAGTAAACAATAAATTGAAATGCTAAATCAAACTTCATTTATTGAAACTCAGAGAACTGTCATATCTGTGTAAACAGTCTGTGAGTATACTGACAGCAAAAGATTCTCATCTTCGCCAAATTCCGATACACTCGAGATTACGGGCATTTTGCCGAGACGGGAATTTCCTAAGAGGTGTTGGAGATTAATTTTATGGTGAAATCTGCTTAATATTTTTCTATCGCCTCCAATTTTCCTTCAAATATAGCTGCATAGAAAATATCGTCAATAAATCAGATTTGTCTTAAGGGTATGAAACTTTCAATGCATATTACAGATTTCGTCTTGAGAAATAAATTTGAAACTGATACGAGAATAAAGAGTTTTAGAATCTAAGTGTAGGATAGGTATGGTCTAAATTGTATTGTACATTATATTGAGATTTATTAGAAATTCATATTTGATCATTGATAATGTTTTGTGCTCTCCAGAATATATGAGCATTCCAATTATTGTAAAGGTTATTCTATTTAAGGATTATGGAAAGGGTTGATTAAGAAAGGAAGAAGGAGCTGTTCTTAATGAAATAGTTACTATTTCTGACTAAATTCTTAGGAATAGAAACTATATCAGCTGCTTTAGACAAATGAATCCAGATGCAGCTTAAACTTGATTTTTATGTATTTTACCCCGATTAATAAAGGTCTGTAAATAATCATTACACGTGGGAACGTAAGCGGACCTATACGGCCTTCTACAAACTTGTATAGTCTCTAAAAAACTACTTTATCATGAATGATAAAATATAACGTATATATTCTTTTACTTTTTTAAAAACCAAGTTCGTTTATTACGTACATTTTATAATTTGCATTAAAAAATACATAAAGCTCAAAATTTTCACCCTTCTACCAAATCCCCTATTTTTTAATAATATTAATTTCTATTGCAATACAACTTTTGCCGGGTCATATTATAGTTATTATACAAAATAATTTGTTATGCCCAACTTTATAAAGCATTCAAATTAGCATGCCATATTTACTAAGCTGTGTCATAAAATTTAATATATGTTAGAAGCACGCCAACTAATTCTGGCTCGTAGGTCTGACGGCGCGGCGCGTCGGTACGCCGCAACGTCCGCCGCAGCGCCAGCAGCCTACTGTACTCGAGTAATATTTGCATATATTATATAGATTAGATGCCTTTGCATATTACACGTACTCTTGTACATGCATGAATCAGCAATCACGCAGGAAATAATATATTAATAAATGTAGACAAAGATAACGAGCCACCAGCTCGCGCATATCCGTTTATGGGACACAGTCACCTAGATACATAAAATAATAATTGCATTTAATAATGTTTAGTAAGACAAATTCAATATTGTCTACTAGGCACTGCTGTATCTAAACTGTGTCACCCTACCTCACATTTTCCTACTTTTATTTAGTATATAAGATCATTATTTCTATGTACATATTGTCAGTTTATCATCATCTGTAATATACATCGTCTCGACCAACAACATCGTATCATTCACTCGCAACACCGTTCTTCAATCGTGCGTCCTTTAGCGTCTTTTTGTAATAATTAATTACCATATAATTTATAAATCTTAATCGTGTCTTTGGAAAAAAATCTATGGACAATTCTACAAAACTAAAATTGTAAACTGAACTGGAATAGGATCGTACTCGTCAATAATCAACTAATACCTAGGTGTCAAGACTCTTGGTCCGTGGGGTCCTACCGCTATAAGATTTTTTAAGGAAATAGCAATAAGGTTAGTCGACATCACAGAAGACCGAAGAGCTGGCAGCTACCTCGGACAAAGAATTAGTCTAGCCATTCAAAGTATCTTCGGAACCTTGCCTAAAGGGACTTCTTTTAATTATTATATTATATTTTTTAAGGTTTTTAACATTAGGTTCTTCGTTGTATAATTAAGTTATGTATATATATATATATATATATATGTATCAATCTGATTATTAAATACATAAGTAAATTAAGAAGTATCTGACGATGTGATGTTTGTCGCACTATCTCTGCTTTGCCGTTGACGGTGTCAATTTTAAGTGATATAATATCAGAGTGATATATCTTCAAGTGATACAATATCTAAGTGATATATCTTCAAGTGATACAATATCTAAGTGATATATCTTCAAGTGATACAATATCTAAGTGATATATCTTCAAGTGATACAATATCTAAGTGATATATCTTCAAGTCATATAATATCTAAGTGATATATTTTCAAGTCATATAAAACTAAGACTTACCAGCCTCCAGTCTCATGTCGCGGGAGAGTATAACTCCCACTGTGCTGGCGGCGCGACAGCGGTACACAGTTGCATGCACGTCACTGCGGTACTGGGCTGCTGAGAATGGCCCAAGCCACAGCGTGCCATTTGGTAAGGCTTCCCTGTTGAAACAAATTTTACATATATTACTAACAATTAGGTAAATTCACTAAAGTTTTACATAGTATATTAGTTTGGGATGTTAAAATACTGTAATTGAGTAAGTTTTCTAATAAAATCTGTGTTTAGCTTCTAGTAATAATGTTCACGTTTAGATATGTTGTAACAAAAGCGAAGGCAAGCATTTTGAACTCTTTGGATAGACTTGCGAGTTTCCTCCAACAATCTTGGATATAGGTATAAACTAACCATATATCCATCATCATCATCTGCTTCTTCCTTATCCCATTTATTTCTGGTCGGCGTAATATGTTTTTCTCTTCCATTCATCCCTGTTCGTAGTCATCGCGTTATTTACTTCCTTTCTTGCCATATCATCTTTCACACAGTCCATCCATCTCTTTTTCGGCCTTCCTCTGCCGTTATAAGCATCCACATCCATATGTAACACCTTTCTTAAAATATTATCCTCGTTCCTACTCATTACATTACAAACTAACCATATATCCATTTTTCCTTATTCATTTAATGTGAAATACGTAACTTTACGTTTCTTCTATTGCGTGTTTGTGACGGAATAACTGTAAGGATTCACTGTATGGCCTTTGCATATCAAAGTAGATTGCTCTTTGAATTGTCACAAACATAGTCACTTCCAAAGAACTGTGTGCTTTAATTAATCAAAGCGATTCCTGCACGTTTCATTTCCATTGAATCCGATGCCGTTTTAAATGCGAAATCATTTTAATAGAATGCTGAGTTTGAATAAGATTAATGACGAGCAATTTTTGCTTTGCAATGGAATAAAAGCGATGGTAATAGAGGGAAACATCGGCCGAATGCTGCGTTGATATGGGTCGACGCGATTTCATAATATCATTAATATTGTTAATAATAATAATAATAATCTCAGGACACTTCACACAGCGCCATCTAGACCCAAGTTAAGCTAGCTAAAGCTTGTGTTATGGGTACTAGATAACTGATACAAGTACATAGATATTTTTTTTCGTAAATACATACATATTGTACATAGATTCACCCAGACCGATACAAACAATCGTACTCATGCGAGCGATCGTGCGAGGAATCGAACCCGCGACCATCGGTCATAAAGCGGTGTGCTAGACCGCTAGACTACCGAGGTCGTTAAATTCTTGGATTTTAAAGAATACATACTCATAGTACTCATACCTATACAATAATCTACACAATTGGATACAATTGAATTGTCTGTTTGTATGTTCAAATTAATATCTTTTCAATAAATACAAATGAAAGTATACTCGTATACGGTATTTACATCATTTTTTTCCTTTTTTTTTTTCTTTGATTTTTTCTTCCGTACTATCTGCAATCAGCCAATTATCTTTTATCAGATTTTATATCTTTCGTTATCTGTCGCTTTGAGTTACCATATCCATTAATATGGTCCTCCTTTTATATACATCTGCTGTTTTAAATCGTAGCCAGACGTGACCTTTTCAGATTGCATACATAATAATAATAATCTCAGGACAATTCACACAGCAATCTAGACCCAATTAATTGCTAAAGCTTGTGTTATGGGTCCTTAATATCTTTTCAACTGATACAAATATATAGATTTTTTTTTTTTTCCTTTAAATACATACATATTATACATAGAAAATACCCAGACCGATACAAACAATCATATCATGAATAGTAATGTTTGTGCCGTGCGAGTTACCATCGAAACCATCGGTCGTAATAGCGGTGTGCTAAACCGCTAGACCACCGAGGTCGTCAAAATCCGTAGAGTCCAAGAGAGTTGTTGCTAAAGGGTTGGTATGGTGTTGAAGTCACATAAAAAATTATAATGTAAAGTTATTGTCTGTATTGAGTAAAAACAACATATGCATAATGACTAGGACCCTCATAGGACACTGCAAATTAAACAAGCATATGGCTAAACTAGGCCTAAGCACGACAAAAATCTCCAGATTCTGCCAAACTGAAGAGCAAACGCCACTACACATCCTATGTGGTTGTAGGCCACTCAAGCATAAACGAAATATCTCCTTTGGAACGTATACACTCTATTCCGAGGAGATAAAAACCATCGCTCCTAAGAATATCCTTCAATTCTTGTCCCCGACGGGTCTAGGTAGCGAACTTTGAAAATGGGCGAGCACAATAGATCTATATAGGTCGCAGTGCTACAGGTGCTACAAACATCTGACAATAGCCCAAACAACCCAAAAAAAAATTGTCTGTCTGTGTGTTTGATTTTAATAGTCTTTGCAACGACTATATTCATTTACATTGATTTTGACGGGTCTGTTACATGCAGATTGCTGATGTTTTACGAAGTAAATTCACTTTCATATTATACATTTTATTTATTTTCCACACGAACAAAGTCACTGGTAAAAGCTAGTAAGTATTTTCCAAGTCATAAAACATCTGTGGTTTATGTTATTAAAATTTTTATTAGTTTCATTTCCTAACTTTGGTTTACCCTTTGTTTTTAATAATCATAATTTTCTCAAGCTAGAGAGAGGGTGAGGGATCACCCTCTCTCTCTCTAGCTCGAGAAAAAATTAAGATCGACGACGACCTTGTACCATTTCGCCTACATGAGTAGTTCTGCCTTAACTGTCTTAACCACTAAACCGCTAAGCTGTTTAAGCTGTTTAGCGGTTTGAATTGAGCAATGGCATTGAAATGGTTTATATGACATTGAAATGGTTTATACGCCGTTATCCTTGGGAATAGCAAGAGAAGTACTACAGACATAGATCCTTACTAATATTATAAATAAGTAACTCTGTCTGTCTGTCTCGCTTTCACGCCAAAACTACTGAACCGATTCAAATGAAATTTAGTATACAGATAGTCTAGATCCTGAGAAAGGACATAGGCTATTTTATAACGTGAATAAAGGGTTGTAAGGGGTTGAAAAGGGAGATGAAACGTTTTTGACTATCAATATGACATTCAAAGTTTGTACTAATTTTACCGTTAAAGGGTAAAATAAAATAGGGGATGAAATGGAAATTCCTCATTCGTCCTCTTTTCCTTGAGAACGAAGTCGCGAGCACAGCTAGTTTAATATATTTCAGATTTGTAATATTATTCAGCCTTTTACCTATATATATATATATATATATTTCCATGCTGTTCATGCGCCACCTAGCACTATTGTTGTTTTTTCTCTATCTGGAAATGATTCAAACTTGTGGCGGCGTGGTGGGCGGGGTCAATCTACTCCCTCAAATATTGACCATATTCAAATGGGGACCGAAATTACGATGGCCTGAGCCGAGGTTCGAAACCCTATCAGTGCCCTCAGACTAAAGTCATTCGTCACTCGGGAGGTGGTTTTTAGCCGCTCTATAAGTACTTCCGCGGGTTTGGAGTGCCATCTGCGATCCATAAAGAGCGAGTGCACCGATAGGGATTCGAACCTCGCCACAGGCCGTCGTAATTTCGATCCTCGTTTGAAGTGGACCGGCGATCAATCAGAGGAGCATCATATATAACGCTACAGTGCTACAGTGCAATCAGATAATATTGTCAGCGTTGTGAACTACAAGTGGGATTTTTCGACAAATATTTGTTAGGCCTCATATCGATTTTGTCAAAAAATCTGATATTTTAAAAATATTAAAAGAAGGTAGTTTCATTATTACTCGGTATCGTTAAACTAGTTGCGTATAACCCCCACGCATATCTTCTCTGTATAAAGGGAGGGTTTTTGTAAGCCACGACACCCCCTCCGATCGATCCCCCGTCCAATTCAAACGGGGATCGATATTACGACGGCCTGAGCCGAGGTTCGAACCCCTAGCGGTGCTCTCAGACTAAAGTCGTAGCCGTGAGGCGAGAGTTGGCCTTCAGCCGCTCCAGAAGTCCTTCCGCGGGTTTGGAGTGCCATCTGCACTCGCCCCCTATCGTCCGGTGAAGCTGTAAAGGCCAGCTGCGGCCAACAGCATTAGAGTATTCCGAAAAAAATATCCACGGCATTCGATCTTTGAGCACAGGACGTGCTGATTGTATTTTAAATACTAAAGTGAATTGTGTTAGAGAAATAGAAATAGAAATAATCTTTATTCAAATAAACTCATTACAAGCACTTTTGAATAGTCATATTTTGATTCTACCACTCATTCGGAATGCAGATTCATCACAAGAACAATGAGCAAGAAACTTGCGTGTTACTCTTTTAAATAAATACACAGTAACAAGTATTAGGCATGCGGTAATCAACATAGAAACCGCTACGCACACATTATTTGTGTAATCAGATAATATTGTCAGTGCTATGGATTTAAAGTGTTTCTATAAAAGCACAAATTCTTCAATGTTATAGTAAGCTTTTTTGCAAAGGAACTGTTTTATTTGACATTTAAATCTTTTTTCTGGCAGATTTATAACAGACTCTGGTATTTTATTGTAAAACCTTACGCAATTGCCATAAAACGAATTACTAACTTTAGCCAAACGACATTTAGGTAAAATCAGTTTGTTATTGTTACGTAAGCTTTTATTAGTGCAATCACTAACTCTTTTGAAACTGTCTATATTCTTCCTGGCATAGATGATATTTTCATAAATGTATTGAGACATAATTAAATTAAAGCCATATAGTTGTTACTTTGTTATAATACATACTTTTACTCTACATAGAGTTGATATTTCTTATACATTATTATCGTGTAATTTAATAAAGAAATGGATCTGCAAAATGACGCGTACTTCGATGAACCGTATTGTACAAATGTCAACTAATTATATCCTCACTGTACTGGCTGTAAGCGTACTAACTACATTAATTAGATGGAGTAAATATGAGTTCATTAGGCCTCTAATTATGGGCTCGTCATGCGCCGAGTGTCACAGAACCGACGTATCTTCGTTAGGGTAGTGAGTCGACTGTAACCGTAATGTCATATGTGATATAACAATTTACATGCAATTTTTGTCCGAATGCTAAAGAAATAGAGTATGTTTTGGGATAATTATTATGATTATCTAA